GCCTGCATTTCGCGCACTCGACACGCACGATCTCCGCAGAGGGTTGCACTTTCGGTTGACGCTGTTCGTCCCGCCCTCCGCCTTTAAGAGAGAATTTATAGAGTGGGGAAATGTTTTTTCATTAGGACATCTCCCGTGCTAGTTTTCCATACTCACACTTGCCTACTCATTGCATGCTTGCATGCTCATTGCATGCTTGCGTACCCATCACTTGCATACTTACACTGCGTGCTTGCATACCCATCACTTGCATACTTACACTTGCATACTTTGACACTTGCATACTTTGCACTTGGATGCTTTCGCTCTTCCCCTTAATGTCGAAGTGAGGAAGTGTATGTGTAGGAAGTGTGTAAGTGTGAGTGTCGAAGTGTCAGTGTATGTAGTGCAAATGTGGTGGAAGTGTCAGTGTGTAAGTGTAAGTGTCGAAGTGTCAGTGTTCAAGGGATTTTCCAGAAGAACCCTTCGCAATGCTTTCGGGAAAAAGACATCTCCTCCATTTCCATGCGCCGCATATTCACCGATTTCTTCAGCGATGAAGGATCTTCCACAAGCTCGACTGGCGCATTGCTGCTCACCAATACCCACTGAATAGAGTATTGAAAGGTTTATTTACGAAGCACTTTATAGAAACACCTCTCTATAGAATGGGATGTCCAACCTCGGCTCTCTTTGAAATGCTAGCCTACGTAAACCCATCAAATGAGGTGACTGACTCTAAGCAACATAAAGTCTGGCAAGTGGGCCGGCGGCGCATAAAGCTGGAATTTTGCTTTGATATGAAATGACAATCCAACTGAACTGCAGAAGTATAAGCCAGAAGAGACTAGGACTATAAAATGACGTTCCATCAGAAAGAGACTTGCAATATTTTTTACAACAAGGTTATATAGGGAAAACGAGGTTTCCAAGTAAGTAAGCAAAAGGAAAGTGAAAGGAACAAAAACCACATAACTCGTTATAACTCCACATACTTTAGATATATAATAGTTTTCTTTTCAAGGTTCCCCCTTTGTCTCTTTTTGGGATCGCCCGGGTTTTCTCTCGACGAGATTGACCAGACCGTTTCCGGTTTTCTGATGAAACACGACTAAATGCCGAATGTCCTGGACAAATAGGCCGCGCACAGTTGACTTTTTTACTTTGAGATTTCACTTCACCAACAGCTTCAAAGCCGCTCCAAATCAGCTTCTCTGTAACATTCCAAATATCCCATCTTCTATTATATATATAGCTATTCTGTCCTTTCATTCAAATGACTTGGCTTTTGCATCTCGTCCTGTGCTAGATGCCGTGCTTGGGTGAAACTCTGTGCTGAACAGCTCTTCGGCTTCTGTACCAGCTGCTCATCTTTCGGCTGTGGCAACTTCATCTTGTCGCTAGCTCGAAACAAACGCTTTGTCAAAGCTGGTTCTTTTCCTGAAAGGCGCTCGTCTTGAAGGTTTGCTGAGTGGATGGCTTTGACGCGCCGCGTTCAATCGGAGACTTTCAACGATGACAATTTCGTTTGGATTTCAAAGTGTGCAGAGGTGGCTTGGTAAGAGACCAGCCTTCACGCAACTGTGTAGCCGTAGGGATTTTCATAGTCGGCGTCACGAAGGCTTGCATCCAGCTTTTCTTCCTTCTTCCACTGCCCATCCTGCGGAAGAGCGCCGAGTCAACGGAACGAAGGCTGAGAGAATGAAGCGCATGCAGCTTGGAAGCGGGTTGGAGGCGAAAGTCGCTCGTCCTGTTGGCTGTAGATGTCGATTAAGGGCGCAGCAATGGTCAGCTTCATCTCCTTCTCAATCGCCTTGAAGCAGGGCGCACGGCCACGACACCGCCGGAACTTCAGCAAAGCGTTCGGCAAAAAAATGCGCTGCTTTCCATCATGGCTTGACAACGCCATTGCTTCAAAGCGCCATGCTATTTTTCTTCTGAAGGCAGTCTTGTGTTTTGTGAAAGGCGTTGGACATGAACACCAACCATGAACCCACAGCATCTCTTGCTAACAAGGACACTCTGCTCAACTCATCAAGCTTGTCATTGGGCTTCCATGAGCTGAGGTCGGCACCTTCTTCAAATATGCCTGGCGGTGTTCCGTTCAGAGAAACCAACAAATTTTCACAATAGCATCCAACCACAGAGCATTCAACAAAGACATGTCAGGAGTACAATGTTTTGGGGTACTGGATCGATTGGGAACGCATTGCCGGCAAAGTCATAGCCACCGGCGCCGTCCTGCAAGGTCAGCAACCGAACATTTAAACAAGAACGGTTGCGATCCTGTGCTACTGGCATTTACTTGCCAAAGGGTGTGGCAAAGGAAGGGCGTGGCAAAAGACATACAAAGACCTTCGCTTGAAACTGTAAAAAAATCTAAAGAATATTGTTGCAAGATATTGTATTGTTCAACAAATCCTGAGCAATGAACAACCCTGCAATCTGTCCCAAAAGTCCTGAACCCCGCGAAGAACAAACCATGACAGGGCGCTGTCTTGCACAACCGACTTACTCGCACCAATCTCTTGACTTGCGAGGAAGACATGAACGCATAGTAGAGGGAAATCTCTTGATGAAGTTTCGGCTGAACAAACCACTTGTATTTGAACCAAAAAACACTAGTCAAAGGAAGTTTGAAAAAGGAACAAAGGCATAAACTGCTGCAGTGACCAATCAACACCGGTCTTCGCACAAGAACCGCACAAAGGAACAAATGAAAGGAACAAAGAGATGACAAAGCAGCTTGTTCAACACTTGCAGTATCTGTGATAGGTGAGATGTTGAGTGTCAAGAGGCCCTGATGCCAACGCCACCCTTTGAACCAATGTCTGGCTGGCTGTGCTTCAGAAGCAATAGCAAAAACTTAATGCGCGTGAAAAGCAAGGCAACACATCATGCAACCATTTGAAAACATCGCAACATGGCTGAGGGCAAACTCTTGATGAAGTTTCGGCTGAACAAACCACTTGTAGTTTAACCAAACACTAGGCCAAGGAACTTTGATTATGAACCAATGGTAGTATAAACTGTTGCAGTGACTTTTGCAAATTACAAAGCCTTTGACGCTTGAATGAGAGAAATGACGGAGCACAACTCTACCATTGTTAGCATGACCGATTAACACCAGTTTTAGCACAAGAACCGCACAACGGAACAAATGAAAGGAACAACACATAGGGATGACAAAGCGGCTTGTTCAACACTTGCAGTATCTCTCAAAAGGTGAGATGTTGAGTAGGAACAGTCAAAAGGACATGGCAAAGGAACAAGGGCATGGAAGATAAACATACAAGCTCGTTCGTCTAAAACGTCTCTATATTATAAATTGTAGAAAAAATCTGGAAGGCATCATTCAACAAATCCTAAGCCAAAACAACCCTGCAATCTACGCCCCAAGAATCCTGAACCCTACCAAGGACAAAACATTACAATGCGTTGGGTTGCACAACATCAAGCTTTGTAAGATAGGCATTGCGGCATGGCGGCATGACCAACAGGAAACGCTAGCTTGGAAGGGTTCATCACAACAATCTCTTAGGTCGCAGTCCTCGCGAAGTTGTCTCACCCAAACAGCTTTGGTCTGCGTGGCAGCAGTACCTAGCAGGGTGCAAAGGTTCTCAAAGCATCTTACGTCCTAATACGTCCGTAGGTGCGACAGGCGCAAATGGCTTGCCAGTGCACTCAATCCATTGAATTGAAAACTGGATGTGTTCCGGCTTTGCTGCGAAAGGGCTTGGCAACTCGGCATCAAAAGCACTGGATTTGCTTCTAGACCGCTGCTACCTTTATTCATTCCTGGCCACAGGGAATGTTGTAGCAACAGCTACTTGGAGCAACAACACATTGACATGCGGACGGCCGCAAGCAAACCTCTCACATTCCCCCCTTTCCCTCCAGTCCCCCGCCTGCAATGGCTGAGACAGCCAAGACCGGCCTCTTACCTGAAAGCAGGAACTCTTTGATGCCCACTGGTGTCCATCCGCCATCAGGCAAACTTGAACCTTCCAAAGTCTTCGAGATCAGGACATCATCCTCTCTGAACTCGGCTGCAGTTTTCCGTACTGCTTGCTGAACCCCTTCCACATCTGTTGTCTTCTTCTTGGCTATACTCAGGATTGTGCGCCACCATCTCCACCATCTCGGTGTTCGGCGCTTGCTGGAAACCTCGACCTTCTTTGTTGCATTCAGGAAAAGCAAGAGTTGGAATGCCTGCGTCTCATTCCATCGGTACTTGCTCACAGTCTCCTGCTGTGGTGCTAACGGCTACTTCCTTCGCAACTGCTTCAGATTGGCTAATCACGATGACCTGTCCAAAGGTGTGCGCAGCACGGGCGAGGCTCATCAACATTCTCCCATCTGCTCCCAGCTCATTGTCAAAGACGTTGTCCAAAACAAATTGCAAGCGGATTCCGGAGGGATTCCGGAGTTGGACAATTCCTCAAAAACGATTTCTGCAACATGTGGCACAAGGCTAATTTTCTCCAACCCGAAAGAAGTATCTGAGATTCTCTAAACTTTCCCGGATCAAAACGGTGATGGAATGTGGATTGTCTGCAGCCCATCCCAGCATGGACAAACTGACAGCGACTGACTTGCCCGCGCCAGGTTCAGCATGAATCGAAGTGACTCCGGTCAAGGTCACATCCGATAGCACGTTGCTCACCAGATGCTGAAATTGCGTCCCATTCACAGGGATGAGTGGCAACGAGATGTTCGGCAAGAAAATGTTTCGAGCTTTCTCTGACTTCTTGGCGTTCCTCACCAAGATCTTGGCAAGGCGTTTTGCATGCTTTGGGAATCGTCGACTTCCACCAAAGATTTCAGTTTGGAAATCGAGCGACGGTTCTTGTTTGCATCCCAAAGTCCCTGCCCAAGTTCCTTCAGCGATGTCCCAACCACTGAATGGATCGATCTTTTGTGCCCACTCCCCGGCTTCCAATGACGCTTTCCTCGTGGTGCTTGGACATTTGTGCTTGTTTTGGGTCACTCGCGGTATTGCAATCAGAGCAATACAAGACCTACCCAACAGAATAGGCAAGACCAACGCAAGGAGCTTGAAGCCGCGCTTTGCCATGGCGAGATTGCATGTCTGCACAACCGATTCCGACGTATGTGCATGACACCAAAGAACACAGTATGAATGCCTACGAAGCTAAACCAGAGGCCTGCGCATGTGCCCCAACATGCACAATGTCTACTTGTGCAACATGTAGAACGTCTTCCAAACCCGAAACATGGTAAATATGATGGTTTCGCGCGGGGCCCCGGTTAGCGTCGTAGGCAAAAACAAGGAGTCAGCTCTATAGAGTTGAGGGCCATGAGTCTGTCAAAAGCTGCGAGCAATGAGGATTTTGCTCTATAAAAAGCAGGTCCTGAGGTACCGTCGAACAGGCGTTTTTCAATAGGAGTGAGAAAATGGGACTCTATAGAATCAAGATGAATCAAGGTACAAGGTTCTGAAGAAAACATAAGAATGAATGCAACTGTCCAGGAAGGCATTGATTCTCCAGCTGGTAGTACCACAAATTTACTGTATAGAGAAAAAAGGGCGTTATGGACAGGTCTGTGATTTTATAGTGTCCAAAGGTCGTCCCCAAGTCATCTCCATAGAATTGCAGTCCCTGACATGCAAATCTATGCTAATAATTCTCTATAGAATCAGTATGGCTGAGGCACCAAGATCCACCGCACCATCACTTCAACACCTCTGTAGAATCGAGCTTGAAAAAAACCAGCGGGTCTCCATAAAATCGAGAAACTTCCAGGTTGGTACTTACAAGCCTCCATGTTAACCAAGAAAATCTGGCTAAAAACATCGCTTTCTAGGGGTCCCAACCCCCGCGATTTTGTGGAGGAAATTCCAACCCCTATGCGCCGGGTATGTTCATCACACATTGCGGCGTCTCTTGTTGTGAGTCAGCATATTTGATATTTCCAGCTTTCAACATTTACATGAGCCGCCCCATGCCCCGACCAGGAAAGCCCTATGCCCTATCCCAACCATGCATAAAGGAAAGCTGTACATGATCCAATATGAGAACCATTGCGAATATAAACTGAACATGGCAAGAGATTATGAGGAGGACAGCAAAGGGCAACGAAACCAACATGAAAACTGGAACAGGATTGTACCAAGCGTAGCTCTTAAATTGAGGTGAAGAACAGGTGAACTACAATAAACAGTTAGCAGTAGCATGCATTTCTGCATGTCTGTGTCTTGTCTCTACCACATGTGAACAGGTTTGCTCACATGGTGGGCACAGTCGTGACGAGGACGGCAGTTGGAGCAAACGGTCTGACGGAATCAGTGACGATGATGCCAACAACCTTCTACACCTGTCTCCTTTTGATGTAAGCAATAAATAGCACCACGTTGTTCAAAAGCAGTGCACAGGATGTGCTTTTTGCGAAATTGGGAGAATCGAACCTTTGCTCTTTGCTCAATTTGTGGAACACATTCTGAGCTTCACACTCAGGCTCTTTTGCGTCTTCTTGTTGAAATACTGCTGTGCTGCCCTTGGAAACAAGTATGCCAGCATGTCCGAGTTGAAAGCACTGTAACTTTGATCTTCAGAAGAGTTGCTTGTTCACAGGCAGTACGTGTCCTGCTTTCATATTCTTCAAGTCAGCAGAATCGACCTGACCCAGTCGCTTGCGTGTCGCTCCGGTGTGATATCGATCATTCCGACCTCATGCTTCCAGGAGTCGAAGTCCAACTGCACTTCAGGTGGGGCACATTCTGCTTCCGATCCTTGGTGATTGTTCGATTCATTTAAGATATCATTTTTTTTTGGGGGGTGCAATCGAATTCGAATCTTGACAGGTTGCGCTCGCCAATCTGAATCTTACATTTGTTCAGCTCGGCGATCTTTTCATCAACCCCAGCCTGCTCGACATGTGAACAAAATCCGGCCGAGGCCCCCAAGAGATTCTCTCATCACACTCGATCTATCCTTTGAAAACCTCACAAAATGCCTGCAACTCACTACATCCTCTTGACTTCAACCGGTTCTTCTACCCCTCCACTATGTTCATCCGTAAAAACATTTCGAAGCCGAGCAAAGCATTTCCTCCGCTATGGATCAACTGGTGTTTGGGAATTGTTTTTTGGGGGAAGGAATGGAGGTAAGGGAGTTCTCGGTCAGGGCTGCTACCAGAGCGATATTGGGCAAACCGGGTGGTACCAGCCTCCTTAGGGTCCTTGTCTTTGGCACTCTCTTTGGCCTCACAACTACGAGGCCCGAGGCCAAACGAACAGCTGTTTAGCAGCTGCTTGCATACTTCAGAGGTAGAACATGCAAATCCAGAGACGAACAAACCAGCTCTCATGTCACTCACCTTCTTCCGCTCCACGGTCTGTCCAAAGGTGTGCACGGCATCATTCCAATCCTGCAAAAGGCTTAATTTCGCTCTTTCATTGTGAAAGACCCCTTGTCTTTTCTTTTCCGTTCTTTCTTTCATTTCTTCAACTTTTCATTTATATCTTTGGAATCTTTAGGCATCTTCTTTTCTGATTTACAGTAGAGCTTTTGACCTCCTCTTTCTTTCTGTCCGTCCTTCCCTCCAGCTGGCTTTCTACTGTAGGAAGAATTCTTCACTCCCCCACAGAGTTCAACTTCATCTGCATACGCAGCACACAGGCAATGCTGCCACTCCCTTTCACTCGCATTGAGATGGCAGCACTTGAGAAACAAATCATGTTCATTGGACTAGTAGCTAGAAGCTACTAGGGGCTCCTGGCCTTACTACTAGGAGCAAGGACGCTACTAGGGGCTCCCGAAGTCGATCCAACCGACCCTCCCCAAGTCGATGGGAAGTCTTTCCCATGAATCGATGCGGCTTCGTGACCGCGACTCCCACAAAGAATACACACCAGAACTACATGTGTACACAAGGTGGCAACGCAATCTAGCGCAAGACATCACGACCTCCAAGACGCATTCTTGCAAACCATACCACGCGTCTTTAGGTTGTGTTCTTGCATCTAAAGAGAACACCGACGGGATAGGGGATTGTCCGTCCTGTTTCTGCTCCAAGCTAGGGCCTTTCACCCCAGCTGCGCTTTGACTGCAGCCCATCCTTTTCTTTGTCTTTCCTACACCTACAATATCTGCTGAACCATAAACTTGAGCATCGCAGCCGCAAATCCAAAACGGATCAAACATGTTCCTAGATGAAATTGTCATAACACATGACCCATGACCTTCATGTCAGGTTTCAACGGTGACAGTCTACCCTTTCAGCCTAATGAAGGTCTTTCGAGATGTTTGGAGGTTGACTTGCTTGATAACTGTCACCTCAAGGAAGGAGCCCAACCTGGTCACGGCGTGACCATCATGCGATGAGGCGATGAAGTGCTAACCGTATCGGGAGAGGTTGCACGTCTCGCTTCATCCTACCGTCAGGTCTTGCACACGGAGCTTCTGCGAAGAGGTTCCCACGGATTCCCATAGCTTCTTGTTACTAGTAGCGATGGCCTCCAACCTAATAGCGATGGCCTCCACCTAGTAGTGCCTTGCTCCTAGTAGTAGTAGTCACAAAACAGAAGCAAATTACAGCAGATTCATGTTTGCAAATGAGAACTTCGCACATTTTTTCAGTAGCAGCAAGCGTCACAGTGGGGTCTGCGGCAGTCTCTTCAAACAGTCCGAGATCCTATATCAATAAAAAGTAGGAATAAAGACATTGCGAAGAAGTCGACTAGCCTGGCAAAAAGCAGCACATTCGCTGACGCACCCCCCCTCTCCGATTTAACAAATCTTGCATGCGGTGCAAGAAGCTACTGGGAACAAGAAACTACTAGGAGCAAGGGCATCGCTACTAGGAGCAAGGACGCTACTAGGGGCTCCTGGCCTTACTAGCAGTAACAAGAAGCTACTAGGAGCAAGGGAATCGCTACTAGTAACAAAGGGCATCGCTACGAACGGAGTGGGTGGACTTCGAGTCGAAGCTCCACGACTTCCTGAGCGAGTGGTCAGCGTTCCAAACGTGCCAAACAGGCTGGCACACACTGGACAATTGGAGCAATCAAACATTAAAGAGTACCGGTGACAAATGATTTGCGACTGAAGGGTTTCCAGCTACAGCAACCCTAGTGGTTGCTTTTCATCAGGTGTTTGACAGCTCCAACTGTAAGAAGTAAGAAACATGATTTCATCCCGGACAACGTGCAGCCTGGCCCAGCGGTTGCCAGGGTAAATCACTGCCCGGTGAGAACCCGCAGGGTAGATTAAAAAACTTTGCGGGCACTACATAGTCACCAAAAAGGAACTCTGCAGATGGAGTTCCCAGGCGCAATCGCGCAGTTCGGATGCTGCAGCAGTCTGCAAATGTGGTCTTTGATAAGCTTTGAGGACATAACTGTGCCGAGTTCGTACATACTTGAGTCATGACCACATTCATCTGCTTCTGAGCTTCAGAAGGACCGCGAGACTACGACTAGATCATCTCAACTCTGGGCTTCCTTGGCTGAAGGAACTGCGTACCCGGCTGTACCAAAGTAATTCCTTGGCCCTGATAGGTAGCCTTTCTGAATTCTAAACGGCGATTGGCAACTTCTTGTGCAGTGCACAAGTATTGAAGGGATTTCTGGTGACTTTTGCCCATTTTGCCCAAGTCTCTTCTTCTCTTTGGAACCTCTATCAGCCTGAGCTTTGGCCTTGATGGTGTCATTCTCTGGAATCCCGTTGAGGCTGCTGGCAGCACAATAGCTTGCGACCTCCTGAGGTCAACGGGACCTACGGTATCACCGACGGTTTTGTTCTGTGCTTGAACATTCTTATTCTAACTGCATCACATGCATGTCATCATCACACACCTTTCCAAAAATTTAGGTCCAAATGATAGGGTACTGTAAGTTCTCAGCTATCTAAACTTGGACAAGGGGAGCAACATGCGGAAGCACACTTCTTGATTGCTTTCATCCCTCAGGTGCAAAAAAGACATCTCCTCCATTTCCATGCGCCGCATATTCACCGATTTCTTCAGCGATGAAGGATCTTCCACAAGCTCGACTGGCGCATTGCTGCTCATCAATACCCACTGAATAGAGTATTGAAAGGTTTACGAAGCACT